TGTCCTTTTCGGGAGGACTCAGGGGCAGTGCAGGGCCTTGTATCTGGGGAGACCTGTGGGGCTGGCTCCACACTATGACCACAACTTTGTAGATTCCCCATGATGTATATTGGATTGTTTATACATGTACACACACACATTTGGAGCATGTGTAAGTGCACACTTATACCCTTACACACATGTACACATGTGAAAAAATCTGTAATGAAACATATCAGATAACTGTGATTATCTCCAGGTGGTTAGAGAATAGGTAAAATGATAACTGTGATTATCTCCAGGTGGTTAGAGAATAGGTAAAATGATAACTGTGATTATCTCCAGGTGGTTAGAGAATAGGTAAAATGATAACTGTGATTATCTCCAGGTGGTTAGAGAATAGGTAATTTTTTCTTACATATGTGTCTTGTTTTGTTTCTTCCAAAAGTTCCACAGTGAAGATTCATTACTATTATGATATGGAAAAACAACAACTGTGATTTAGAAACCTAATCTATAATGGCTGTAATACTAAAATAATTCGGTCAGGGCACAGTGCCTCACACCTACAATCCCAGCAATTTGGGAGGCTGAAGCAGGAGGATGGCTTGAGGCCAGGAGTTTGAGACAAGCCTGGGCAACATAGTAAGACCTCCACCTCTACAAAAAAAAATCAGATTAAAAAGAAATAAAATAATTTAACACTTAGATAAAAGAGAGTGAAAACCCATTTGGGGAGTAGACTATATGAAGACTGGGAATCCACTGCGCTGAGTGGCCGACTTTTATCCTAACGTCCCAAAATGGAACAGCCTAACATGGCTTTAGAAATGCTTTGGGCGGAGCAGGGGAAGGCACAATGGTGGACTGGGCTCAGGCTCAGAGTCCTGGTGCTGTGGAAGAGATACTAGACCAGGAGAACAAGCCAATGACCGACAGCCTGGCCTCCAAAGTCACCAGGCTCAAATCGCTTGCCCTGGACATTGATAGGGACTCAAGAGGATCAGAACCAGTGCCTGGATGGCATGGACTTGGATTTCACAAGCATGACCAGCCTGCTTACAGGGAGTGTGAAGCGCTTTTCCACAATGGCAAGGTCTGGGCAAGACAACTGGAAGCTTCTATGTGGCATGACCATGGGTCTAATTGTGGCCTTCTTCATCCTCTCCTACTTCTTGTCAAGGGCAAGGACGTGAACCAGTAGGAGCTGGTGTCTGTGGGTGCCAAGGACAGCCCAGGTCTTTCTGCCTGACACCTTGGGCTCCAGAGAACTTACCTACAAAATACTCCTTTGAAATTACAATCGTGGGTTAGGTATCTTATTCCTGTGGGGCAGGAGGCTGTAGCAGCCTGTGACTTGATGAGCTCATGTTGGCTGATCCCATGTGTGGAAGGGACTCTTTCTTTGGGGGAAACCAAGGGCCAGCCCCTCCCCCCTCCCCCAGGTGCTTGATTCACCAGCAGAGTTGGGGACACAGCATGTCTAGAGGAGCCAGGCCCGAGCACAGCAGCTGTTGAATCCCAGACATAGCCACTTGAGACCTGCAGCCTTTCACCCAACTCTTGGGACTCTGACATCTTAAGGCTCCATGGTTGTGTCCTTGTCAGGGTGAGGCCATATCTGTGATCCAAAGTGCCTGGAGCTGACACGAGAAGGGACTGTGCACCCTGAGTGAGTGCCATCTCCTCTGACTGAGGCCTCTCAACCTGGAGATGATAGTTACTTCTGGCCACGGTTGCTAAGCATGGGCAGACCAGTGTGGGCTACCCTGCTGTGAGTTTTCTCTGCCTGCTCTCTAGTCCTTTGGATGAAGTGAGACTCCTGGGGAGAACTGGGGTGGCCTAGCCACTGGGTCTGGATCCTTCTGGGTCATGTGACTGTGTTTCTAGGAGCAGAAACTTGCATTCTCAGGATTCAGGATCAATCCAGCACCAAAGATGTGTTTTCAGGAGAACAGACCTAGAAGTGGGCCTGTTTGGCATTTCAGAGTCAGGCAAACCATGCAGGGTTGGGGAGCATCTGTGGGTCTGCACAGGAAGGTTCCCGTGAGGACTCCAGTTGTCGCCTAGCTTGCTGGTAACTTTTGCCCCTCTGCCAAGCCCTGCCGGCCTCCCTTGACTGTGATGGTGCTCCGTGCCATCCTGTCTCCAGCCTCTGCAGGATGCCCACCCTACCCACCTCTCTCTGGGCTGGACTCATGTTCAAACCACTGGACTGGCAGGGAAATGACTTCTTCCCACCTCAAGATGAGGTCTCAGCCCCCTTGTCTTGGCATAAAAACACCTTTAAAGTGAAAAAAAAGAAATGCTTCGGGCACCTGCCAGCAAATGTGGCGTGTACTTCTCTGGAGAGGAAACCCGCTGGCCCAGTTTGGAAAAGAATCTCATCTGAGACTGTATCTGATTTCTTTGTTTATTGAGACAGGATCTCAGTCTGTCACCCAGGCTGGGGTGCAGTGGCACAATCTTAGCTCACTGCAGCCTCGACCTCTTGGACTCAAGCGATCCTCCCATCTCAGCCTCCCAAGAAGCTGGGACTACAGGTGTGTGCCAACATGCCCAGCTAATTTTTTAATTTTTCTTTTGTAGAGATGGGGTTTTGCTATGTTGACCAGGCTGGCACTGAATGAACTCCTAGCTTCAAGTGACCCTCCCAACTTGGCCTCCCAAAGTGCTGGGATTACAGGGGCGAGTCACCACAACTGGCCTTGTATCAGATTTAGTACTGATTATATTTTGAATTACTGTAAGTTTAGTATGTCATCATTTCAGAATACTCTGCTTCTCAAAAGAATGGAGACTACAATAGCCTGAGTCTCTTTTATTTGCAAGTTCCCCAGATAATTCTGAAACATGCCATCCTGAGGCTGTCCACTGGGGCATGTTGGAAAGTAGTGGTTCTCACACTTGGCTGCAACTGGAATCACCTGTGCAGCTTTTAAGTCTTAGTGGCAAGACCATACTCCAGACCACAAAACTCAGGGCTGGGGTGAAGGGGGCTGTTCATCAGTAGTTTAAATGTCCCAGGTGATTTTAATGAGCAGCCAGCTTTGAGAACCAGTGTCCTACTGGAAGCAGCCTCCTTTCCAGGTGTACCCCCTGAGCCTGGGAAACAACTCCTGCAAAAACCTTGTGTCTGAATAACTTTATGTTCTCTGTCTCCATCTGGTGGCTACTCTACTACATTGCTACTATTTACCTGTACAACTTGGGATCTTGTCGTTTGCCAAAAGAATCAAAGACTTAAAATTTTAAGAAATAAAAATAGCTACAAAATATACCACTATAAAGAACAGAGTAATCTAAGAGTCATAAATGCATTCAAATAATGCATCTGAATCTTCTGTGGTACTTGCAATTAAAAAGCAGTCAGTAAATAATACTTACTCCCATTATAATTAAACATGTTCAACCCCATTTTTCGGGTACTGTGGTCCATTTTGAAAGAATGGTTTCAATTCAGTCAAAAAACATATTTAGTCTTATTATATACCCAGCAGACTGTTGGCAATGGTGAACAAGCAGTCTACATGGTGAGAGAGAGAGGGGTGTGTGTGTGTGAGAGAGAGAGAGAGAGGAGAGAGAGAGAGAGAGAGAGAGAGAGAGAGAGAGAGAGAGAGAGACAGAGAGAGACAGAGAGAGAGAGAGAGAGAGAGAGAGAGAGGTGGGGAGAGAGAGATTATTATTTTAATGAAAAGGCCGTTTGGCATGTACTGTTCTATGAGTTTTATAACCCCACCCCAATCAGGATTCCTAACACTTCCATCATTCCCAGAAAACTCCATCACACTTCCCTGTGTGGCTTCCTTGCTCCATCCCAATCCCTGGTCACCAAATGAATTGCTTTTTGTCCTTGTACTTTGCCTTTTCCATGTCATTAAATGGAATCATACAAAACGTAACCTTTTGAGGGTGGTGTAACTTACCAAAATTTCCTTCTTTCTGCTTGTTAGGTTTGTTTTGCCTTTTCTTTAGTTGACTAAAGCTGACATTTAGATTGTTGATCGGAGACTTCCTTCTTTTCTAAAATAAGCCTCAAATGCTATACATTTCCACCTAAGTTCTTCTTTAGCTGCATCTACACATTTGATTTATTGTTTTTCTTCAGTTTAAAGCATTTTCTAATTTTCTCATTTCCCCTGAGACTACCTCCTTTGACCCCTGGATTATAGAAGGAACATTCAATATGGGTGTCTTTGCTGTGCTTACAGCCTTAATCCTGTGGAAACTGGTATTCCATGAATGGAAAATTGAGCCTTTAGTGAACTTGAATACTGTTTCCCATCACTGCCCAGAGAGCAGTTTCTCAGCAGCCAGCAACGTATCAGAGGCAGGAAAAGAGCAGCTAAAAGGCAAAGGAGAAAAATGGAAGACATATGCCTTTAAGTGTGTATTTTAAGCTAAATATGGTGATTAAATATCACCCAAACCCATTTTTTTGTACCTTCTTGTCTCACATCGAAGATATGTATGAAAAACTAGTTGGTTCTTATATATCCCTAAATTCCTAATTGAAATCAATTCCAACAAATTGTAGGTGCTCAAGAGAGAAATGTAAATTTTAAATATATGTATTCAGTACAAGTTACTTTCATAACATTTGCGGCATTATCAAAATATAATTTGAAACACCTCTTTATAACCAACTAAATTAACCAAATGACCTTTTCTTAAAGGCACAAATTAAAAGGTGGCAAAAGCACCATGAATTTAGTGTGTGGGATCACCTTTTCTGAAAGGGCATCAGGAAATGTGGGTAGAGGTCGATGTTGTGGTCACTTGCTGGGAATTAACTCTAGTTACTGGATCGTAGGGAGGTGTGGCAGGGAAGGTGGTGGGGCGGGGAGAGCAAGGCCACTCCAGAAGCTCAGAGCAGCAGCTCCTTATCAACCGTGAGTTGTCAGTGTCCCAGTGCCCCGTGCAGCTGTGGCAGTACAAACCAGCTGCACTGCAGCTCTGCTTGCAGCTTTCTAGAAATACAACTTGGTAACAACAGGAGATTGTGGACACACTGTTTTTCATTAGTTTATTACAAAACTACAGATACAATATATAACATTCTAACTCCTAAATCCTCTGCCTTCTTTTTTTTTTTTTTCTGAGACTAAACGCCCTCAAAGCCCCTGTCTGCTTGGCCCCTAATACAACCTGACTCCTCGGCTCCTGAATGCACAGGTCAGAGGTTCCAACAAGCCTGACCATGGTCAGTGCTGTGGAGCCACTCCCAAGGTGGCTGAGCTCTCTGTGAAAATTTAAATCGCTGCCAAGTGATTCCAAATAAATAGCGAATGGATTGTTTCTGCCCTTAAGATGAAATCCCACATATCTTATGCTCAAGCTCCCTATTGCCACCTTCGACACCTAGAAATTATGGTGGGATCTTCACTGACTTGTTAACCCTGGGAGTGCCCCTTGTGATCCAGATGAGTCAAAACAAATGGCCAGGATCTCTTCTACAAAGCCCATGATGGCCCTTCTGGCTGTGTCTCCAGTCGGTGCCTGGACACTGCCCCTGCACTTCAGGGCCATTCTGACCATTTGGTCTCTTTCCTGGGGGCTAGCGGGTGCTCCGGTGTCATCTCCCTCTGCTTCTTATTTTAGAAACTGTAGGATATAGGACTGGAGCATATTCCCATTCAGTTCAAGGGTTTCTTTGATATAAAGCAAGTCTGAGGCACTGGCCAACCTCAGGAAGTAAATGAGTGCCTGGCAGATTTGGGTCTGTAGGCTGGCAGAGTACTTGAATTCCAAAAAGACTGTAGTGTCTTCACTCTTCTGTAAGGCGGTGACCAATGTATTCCAGATCCAATCCGAGCATACTGGTCAACAGACCCATACTGGTCTCTCTTGCCTGGGACGGAAAGGGCGGTGGTAGATCTGACGTGCACTTTGAAGTCCTTGCATGATGTCACGACTGATGTCAGGGTGCTGTAGGCCTGGGAGGTCCATGGGGCTGTCGCTAGAAAAAATTCACAGTCATTAAAACACATGCAAACTTAGAAATAGGTGGGGTGAGAGGGAGAGGGACAGAAGGAAGCATAAACACAAGTGCTCACAACAGTCATTTTATGTGTTCACTTCATTCTCACAATCATCCTGTAAGATCAGGGTGGTGACTGACTGTAGACTCCTAGTAAGTGGCCAGCTGCCAATCCCCAAACCTCCCTCTTTCCCTACATCAGCCTGCCACATGCTTAGAGCCTCTGCTACCCAATATAGAGCCTTTGGTGACTCAGAAAAAGGCTTCTTCTCTGGGAGGAATCTGTCCCATGGGGTAAGGCTTTGTGGCAGAGCAGGGACTGAACTGTAACCCCACCTGTCCTCTCAGTTGCGCACTTCTGAGCAGCATGCAAACCACACACTACATATGGTAGCCCTGTTCATGCAGCAGAAAGGATCATTTCCTCACTCGCAGCAGCATCCAGACACTGCTCGGGCCATAGCAAGTCGCACATTTTATTGCAAAGAGAAAGAAAACTTACAATTTCAAGGATAAGATGCCCAGATTTCTATCTTTTCTCTGTTCCTGTAGGCCCTAGAAAACAGCCTGCTTTCCTCCTTAGCAGAGCTACTGCTACCCACTGCATTTTGGGGTGTCCTTACTCCTCAAGATGGGTGACAGAGTAGAATGCAGCTTCTCTTAACTCTCACAGCCCTTCCCTGCTTCTCTATGGCCTCTGAAGACAGGCAAGCAGGCCCATTCCATTTGGTGGATGCCACTGCCATTGACAATGGGCCAGTGCTAGGGCAATGAGGCTCTCACACTCCAACCTGTCAGTCACAGTCTTTTGTCAGTTTCTGGCTCCCTTTTCATATGTGGCTCCTGATAGCTCTGCTACTGGATGCTTTCTCGTTCTCCAACTTCCTGCCTCTTTGGAGCTTCACTTTCCCTCCAGGTCATGTAGTCCCCTCTCTAGATCAACTTCTATCTCTCTAGTAGGCTGAGGGTAAGAGCCAGACAGGAAGGCAGGTAGGAGCCAACCACCACTGAGGTGCCCTGGTTTCAAGGCTATCTCAGCTCTCCAGAAGGTGGACATCCACCTCAAAGAGCTCCAGCCCCAAAGGTCACCCTCAGTTGACTTCCTCAGCTTTAGAAGCCGGGAAGCTACTTCTCCACAGGCTCCAGCTGACTGCTCTGCCTGGATGCTCTGGGCATTAAAGGGGAGCAGAGTCGGACTTCCCTTGCTTGATGCATGCTCTCCTCTCCAGGAACACAGCCTTAGGTTTCAGATCTTCTGAGAGAGACGCAATAAAGCATATGCTGGCATTCAAAGTGAGCAAGATTCAGAGGCTCCCATCCATACACCTAAGCAGCCAATGGTCCTGAATGACATCTCAGGGTACATGGCATGCCACTAATTAGAGATAGATGCCCTCTTACATTAATGGCATCCATTCTGTACACAGTTCATAGGGGATTTCCAGTTTATATCCCCTCATTCCAGTTTTTTCCTTTCTTTCTTCTTATTAGAACAATATATGCTTATTGCAGACAATTGAGAAAAATGAAAACAGAAAAAATCCTACTCATCCAGAGGCAATCACTGTTAATAATTAGGCCAATTTCCTTTCAGTCCTTTTCTATCCATCTATTGCAATCACTCTGTGGAAATTATTTAATACCTGCTTTCGTTTGTTTAATATCAGAAGTATTTTTCCGGATTACCAAATTCTTGTAATTTTAAATGGCAACAAAATATCCCATTATATATCCCACTGTATAGATAATGATGTATTTCAATGTTCCCCTAAACTTGCTTTCAGTATGTCTCCATTTCTTCCCAATACTATGGTAAATAACATGTGACAGATGTTTTTAACAACAATGTAGACTGCTGTGTGCTGTCCCAAGAGGCTTTCCACCAGGGAGAAAAGGGAAACTTTCTTACCTAATGGAAGGGCAGGATTTCTAAATACATTTCCCATTGCATAACAAGCGTTCCACTGACTGTCATGGCAGCTTCTGTTAGGACAGTGGAAATTAGGGCCTGGATAGACTCCTCAATGATTTCTGCAAGTGTGGGTTTTTCCATATGAGACGGTTGCAGACAACGAAGCTGATGTCCAAGGCCCGGAGCGCACTGCTTTTTACCTAGAAAAAAATGGGAACACTTTAGATATGTTTTGCCAAAGAGATGTTTTCAAAACTCTAATTTCAGCTTTAAAAAAACCCAGGCCCTAGACTTCTTAAAGCAAGTCCTTGGAACTCTATAAGGTCTTGTCTGGTTAACATTCTGAGCCATCAGAAATGTGAGGTTCTACAAAACTCCTCTCTCTGATTATTTAATTATTTTATTTAGTGTTAGGACCTCAGAGAGGTCTACCTTCCTTGTTTTACCGAGATGGAGTCTAAGGATTGGGGCAACAGGACAAGGCTGGTTTACAGCAAGGTGAGGAGGAAAAGCTACGTTCCATAATACCAGTCAGTACTTTTCTACTGGACTAGAGTTTCAAGCTCTGTGGCCCACCAGAACCATTTGGGGAGGATTTTCCTTTTGTTTTAAAACCAATTTTAAAACCAATTTGCAGGCCCTAATCTCAGAGTTTCTGATTGAATTACTCTGAGATAGGACTTCCCCAATGATTAGCAGATTTTCAGAAGCAGTATTCAAGCAAGCACATGATATGCATCAGGTACTGTGCTAGGTGCCTTAACATGGAATTCTTATATCCAGTGAGGTCTATGCCACGACTTCCATGTTCCAAGTGAGGAGCTGACCTTCAGAGGAGTTACATAATATACCAAAGTCACGCAGCTACTAAAGGGCAAGCCAGGGCTTGAATCCATGTATGTCTGACCTAAAGCCCAGACCTACACTTCCTAAACTTATTTGTTTAGCAGGTAATATTCAAAGTCAGGAGGTACTCATCTTTCTGACTTGTCAATTCTACTTAAAAGATTTTTTTTTAAACCTGAATATGTCATGTAGTATTACAATTCAAATCTCAGCCTGTCACCGCTGGTGTACCTACAAGAGGCTAACTCACCTCTCTGGGATTCAGTTCCCTACTCCCTGTACAATGGTAAGTGAGAGCCGAACTCCGGTTTTCCAGGGCAGCTGGAGGTATCAGAGGTGTGTGAAACAAAGAAACTCCATCTTGAAAAGGAGCTGGGTAAAAGAAGGCTGAGACCTACTGGACTGTATTCCCAGATAGTTAGGCACTTTAAGTCACAGCATGAGATAGGAGGTCAGCAAAAAACGCAGGTCATAAAGACCTTGCTGATAAAACAGGTTGCAGCAAAGCAGCCAGCTAAAACCCACCAAAAGCAAGATGGCCACAAGAGTGACCTCCGATTGTCCTCACTGCTGCACTCCCACCAGCGCCATGACACTTCACAGATGCCATGGAAACGTCAGGAAGTTACCCTATATGGTCTAAAAAGGGGAGGCACGAATAATCCACCCCTTATTAAGCATATCATCGAGAAATAACCATAAAAATGGGCACCCAGCAGCCCTCAGGGCTGTTCTACAGAGTAGCCAGTCTTTCAAACCTTTACTTTCCTAATAAAGTTGCTTTCACTTTACTCTATGGACTTGCCCTGAATTCTTTCTCATGTGAGATCCAAGAACCCTCTCTTGGGGTCTGGACTGGGACCTGTCACCTGTAATGGAGGGACTGGTGGGGCACAGTATTCCCAGTGCTATCTGAGAGCCCAGAACACAGACAGCAGGCCTCTCATGTGTGCTGTAGTTACAAACGTCCTCATCAGCACCACCATTATCCAAACACCCAGAGTGGGGGCAGCATGAACCATCTGTGGCTGTCCAACATTTCAGTACTTCTGAGCCAACTACAGGCTTCCCAAGGCACATCACAGGCAATGTGGACCCTGTGAGTGTTGGACACCTAGGAGATGAGCCCACAGCTGCAGTCTCCTTCCCAGGACAGCCCCTCATACCAAGGGCACCATGATCAAAAGGGCAGGGGCACTCCCTGGGAAGGTGGGATCACCAGCAGCACCCCAGCACTGCTCAAGTCCCAACAGCCAAGACTCAGGGAGCCCTCCTCCCCTGAGCTTTCTACCCTCAGGAGGAGGTGGCAACTCTGGAAACGTCCCCACTTCTCAGCAGAATCTGGGACTGCCTCAACAAGCACCCTGCAGAGAACCTAAAGACCAATCCCCAATTTTATTCCAGAAAGTTTGAATTTGTACCACTTCATTAGCCTTCAGTCCTTGAGCACTGAGAAGGGGTGGGGGCTCAAGCATCCCCCAGGGGCAGGGGCCGTGGTCCAGTCCACTACTGTACCCAAGCACCTTCTCAGAGCCTGATAGGTAGGAGGCACTCACAAACATATGACTTTAATCAACAAAGGAATGCAATTATAGCAATAATAAAGGATTTTCCAAAAGAAAAACAGTAAAACCATAACTCATTTCAACTCATTTTCCCCATCTGCAGGCATATCATCACATATTTACAGTACTATAAATGCCACGTACATGCAATTTTACATGCTGTGTATTTCCCTTGGTGTGGTACTATGAATAAGCTCATGTTCTCACCCAGCCTCTGTGATTGACATCTGTGTGTGTGATGACCCACCAATCATGTGTTATGCCACTGTCTGCCAAACCTCCCCTCACCACTGGACAGCTACCTCATTTTCATTCTTTTCTGTATTATGGATAATGTGAATAGTCTTATGCATTCTGCTTTGCTTTTCTATTGCATTCTTGCCTCAGGAGGAACACTCCAGGAAGGACGGAGTGGACAGAAGGGCATCACTGTCCTCATGTCATAGGTGAAGAGAGTAATACCAGGCATGTGCCAGCATGATCTCCTGCCGTGGGAGCTCTGCAAAAGCTGCCGGATGAATAAACGTGGCTCACTCACCTGACGCCCTCAGCGAGGCCCTGGGCCAGGGCTCTGTCAGCTGCCCACACAGTCAGAAAGTGACTTTCTGTAAGTCCATAGGTTAGCGTACCAGCCCCCAAACTCCATTTTTTTATTAAGACATGAGTTTCAAAATCCCCTGTGAATCCTACAGGAGGCAGGGACCAAATAAAACCAAGCACTTCTTCCCACCTTCTCTTATCATTCTTCCCTCCTTCACACCTGGGCTCAGCGTCCTGAGAGTACAGTGGGTACTAGAGAGCAAGCACCTCCCTAAATGTGCTCCCTAGGGCCCCTCATGGCCTCACCTCTGGCGCCAGCGTTTTCCAACAACCTGGGCTCACTCCCCTTCGGCTTCCACGTGAGCTGTTCCTTGGCTTCCAAAGCTCTTTTCCAGCTGTATCCCTGTGGAGTCCTCTACCCTTTTGAGGTCTTTACTCAAATATCACCTCCTCTGCAAAGCCATCCTGACCACTCACTTAAAATCATACTACCACCCAGGCACCCCTCCCTGCCTTGATTTTCTCCACAGCACTCTCACCACTTAACAGATAACACATTTTCCTTAGTGTGTGGTTTTTCAGAGATGGGAATCTCACTGTTACCCAGGCTGTATTGAACTCTGGCTCAGGTGATCCTTCTGCCCCAGCCTCCCAAGTGACTGGGACTCCAGGTGTGGCCACTGCTCTAGGCTTTACTTACTTTCTTGTCATCTGAATGTCTCCTCCCGACACTAAAGCGTGAGGTCCACAAGGTCTATGGTCTTGTCCATTTTGTTCACTGCCATTTTCTCCAGAGCTGAGAAAAGTGCCCAGTCCCTACTGGGTACTAATTAAACATTTGTCAAGAAAATAAATAGTAATATTATCGTATAAAAATATTCTCATTCTACACCAGGGATTTTGCTTCCCTATGGCTCATCTCACTATGAAAAACAACCCCATTGTAATCCCCATTTCATAGATGAGGAAACTATTGCTCAGAAAAGGTAAGCTACTTGCCCAAAGACACACAGCAAGCCAGAAAGGCAGAGCAGTCTGAATCCAGGCTGTCAACCATCAGAACCTGTGCTCTTAAGCAGCATGAGGTGCTGCGCATCCTCCCAGCCTCACATCCAAAGGCAGAAGCCATCCAGGGCCCAGTAGAGCTTTATAGGAAGAACAGCAGGTCTGACTTTTGGAATATAAGCAGCGCCTAGCTTACAGCTGCAAGGGGAGAGGGGCCCATTTGCTGTGACAAGTAGGACTAGGGCTTTGACGACCTGGGTGCTAAGATAACAAATCCTGCCAGACCAGAAAACTGCTTCAACCAAACAGGCCCAGAGGGGAAGTTTAGCTTAAGCTGGTAGATGCTCGAGACAAGGTCTGGCCATTTGAGGCTGCCTAAGCCTTCTAAAAAAAGTCAGAAGCCCCCTCTGGTTTAGAGGTCCAGTGGGAGGGATCACATGGCCAATTGCAGCCCACATGGCTAGCTGTACACAGGTAATGCGAGTAAACAAGGTCTTTGACTTTTGGGTTCTCTTTTTCTTTTTTTAACTACTTCTAAAACTCTCAAAATTGTCAAAGATGCAGTTGTGAGAGTGGCCTGGCGCTTTGTCTCATATGTTCACCTCTCTTCATAAACCACCAGGTCAACCAACCACACAGAAAAAGTTTCCTGTCCCTAAAAAGACAAGTTTCCATTCATTAATGGATTCTTCCTTGCTCTGTTCTGTCCCCTGTGCCACAGTGAGTCAGGGCCACCACAGGGACTCTCCCCAGGGACTTGTCACCTTCTTTCTCCTAAAATGTACCATTAGCCTTTAAAATACCACTGTGCCTGTCACCATCAGACCCAAGAGCTACCTGCTATGTTGCCTTTGTAGCCAGAACCCTTCCAAGCAGAGGCAAAATTAGTTGAGATGATCAGATAAAGGCCTCTGCTCACCTGCTGCCCACACCCCAGCCCCGCAGGCTGCCCCTCTCCCACCTTCCTGCTCAGCCTGAAGCCCCCACCTCTTGCTTTGCAGCTTCCTTTCTGCAAATGGCCGACTGTTAATCCAGATCCCCACACTCTGATACTTCATCCTGTCTGCAACTGTGAGGGACTCCCATTCCAATGGTGTGAGAAACAAGACTTGCCAAATCCATTTCCACTCAGCATTACTTCTTCAAAAATGCTGAGCATTATCCAAGCCTTGTATTATCTTTCTGCTCTGGACAAGACCCAAGATCAAGCACATTGCTAAAGGGGGAAATGAAATGAACACAAATGGAAATTCAGACAATTCAGCTCTGCCAGTTACTGTGTGACTCTGGGCCTTATTATCTAGGCTTATGAGCCCTACGTGGGCTCATAAAGTTATCATCACTGAGAAGTTAACTGAGAGAACTGCTGTCAGAATCTTGCTACCTGAAACTGGGCACCAGCTGGGCATGGTGGAATACAGCTATGGTCCCAGATATTTGGAAGGCTGAAGGTGAGCCAGAGAGGTAGAGAGAGGCTGCAGTGAGCCATGATGGTGCCACTGAACTCCGGCCTGGACAACACTGCGAGACCCTGTCCCAAAAAACACGGGCAAGTCTACTTCACGTTGGCCGTAACTGTGGGAAAAAGGGATAGGGCCCCAAGTTATAATCAATGTATTCCCAGGATTCTGGCCCTTCATTCCTATTATTTTCACTTTGAGACGAAGTCTCGCTGTCACCTAGGCTAGAGTACGATGGCATAATCTCAGCTGACTGCAACCTCCATCTCCTGGGTTCAAGCAATTCTTCTGCCTCAGCCTCCTGAGTAGCTGGAATTACAGGCAGCCACCACCATGCCCGGCTAATTTTTGTATTTCTAGTAGACACAGCGTTTTACCACACTGGCCAGGCTGGTCACCTGGACTCAGGTAATCTGCCTATCTTGGCCTCCCAAAGTGCTGGGATTACAGGCATGAGTCACTGGGCCCAGCCTACTTCCCATTTATTTAATAGTAACAAGCTCACAAACAAGGAACCCAAGGTGCTGGTTAACTCTAGTCAAAGGAGGCTCCTAACTCAATGACATCAGAACCCCCTAGGGCTTACAAGTCATTCAGCCTACTCCAAACGAAATGGTGCCAACATCTCCACCAGGCCATTTCCAGGTGCTGCCCTGAGGGCCACACCTCACTAGGTGAATATACTCTAGACCCCAGAAGCATCTGCTCAGATCTCATACCTGCTTCTTTGCCCCATCCTACAGGAAGAAACCCAAGAGGAGCACAATGTCCCGAAGTCCACATTCCCAACCAGAGCCACCGATGGGAGTCCGCAGTCAGGGAAGAAAGGCACGGGGCAGACAGCTCAGTGAGCAGGGGGTTCCATGACTGTCTCTTGGGCTTGTTTCCCATAAGACGGTGCCTAAACACTCATACCTGGTATCGGCAGCCCCACATCTGAGCTGGAAACCTCAGGACTGAGGACCCCTTCCCTAGCAGAGGTTCACATGGCCCCAAGCAGGCCAGGACTCCCAGGCTTTACATCAGAGAACTGAGTTTCAGTCACCACAGTGAAGACTGGCAGCACAGAACACAGCTCAGTGCAAATCAAGACACATTTCGCAAGTCCCTACATACCTCAGTGCAGAGATGAACCAGCTGTGCGGCCTGATGGGCCTTATTCACACCTCATCAGCACCTTCTACGGGTTTACTCATGCACAGACTCCCCCGCTAAGCTGGCTTTCTAGGGCACAATACACCTCATTCACTCTTGTATTCCAGAACAGTGCCTGGCATGAAACCTGGTCAGGAGGGTGGAGGGGAAAGGGGGATGATACCTGTTTGTTGAGATGGTACATTAATTCTCTCCTGGGGCCCAGAACTGAAGAAACAGACCCATGCCCCTGCCTACCTCCCTAGCTCCAAGGCCAATCACCCTCCCCTGACACTGTGTTCCAGGCACACCAGCTTCTTCCCCAGCCCTTGACCACACCAAGCTTGATTCTGCCTCAAAGCTCTTGCACAAGCCAGTCCCTCTGCTGGGAATACTCCTCCAGGCTACAGTGGTCTTCTCATCTTTCAAGACTCGGCTCAGAGGTCACCCTCTCTGGGAAGGCCTTTCCCAACCACCCCATCTAAAGAAGTCATCTCCTCCACAGCCCGGCCTCTCTCTAACTCACTTCCAGTTTTCTTCTGAGAGCACATCTATTTGGTGTGTTTATTATCTCTCTCCAAAGAAGCCTTCTATTTTCTTCCTTTCTCCTTCCCCAGTGCCTGAAACAGTGCCAGGTACACAGCAGATGCTCAATAAATAGTCACTTGAGTGGGCCTGGCATGGGGGCTCACACCCGGTAATCCAAGCACTTTGGGAGGCCAAGGCAGGCCAATCACTTAAGACCTGGAGTTCAAGACCAGCCTTAACACCATGGCAAAATCCTGTCTTTACTAAAAATACAATAATTAGCAGGGTGTAGTAATTCATACCTGTGCTCCCAGCTATTCAGGACGCAGCATGAGGATCACTTGAACCTGAAAGGCGGAGGTTGCAGTGACCTGAGATTGTGCCGCTGTACTCCAGCCTGGAGGACATAGTCTCTGTCTGAAAAACAAAAAAAGTCACTGAATGCATGTACAGAAAAGAGAAATAAATAGAAAATTCAAGATGAGTAATATCTAACAAGGTCAAAAAAGAGAGAGAATAAAGGCGAGAAGAAAGGTACAAAGGTCAGAATGAATTGTAAAAATATAAGAGACACTTACCCAGGAGTATAATTTTTAAAGCAGCCATCACTCAAAAGGAGTTAAAATGGAGGGGCTAGGTGCAGTGGGTCACATCTGTAATCCCAACAATTTGGGAGGCCGAGGCAAGCGGATCACCTGAGGTCAGGAGTTTGAGACTAGCCTGGCCAACATGGTGAAACCCTTTCTCTACTAAAAATACAAAAAATTAGCTGGGTGTGGTGGTGTGCACCTGTAAGCCCAGCTACTCAGGAGGCTGAGACAGAAGGATCACTTGAATCTGGGAGATGCAGGTTGCAGTGAGCCGAGATCCTGCCACTGCACTCCAACCTAGGCAACAGAGAGAGACTTCATCTCCTCAAAAAAGAAAAAAAAATGGAGAACAGTTTGCCAAGTCTTATCTGTCTCTCTCTCTCTCTCTCTCTCTCTCCCCCACACACACGCGCACACACACACACACACACACTCTCTCTCTCTCTCTCTCTTTCCCCATCTCCATGCTCTTTGACCCAGTAATTCCATTCCTGGGAATTACCCCAAGAAAACAAATAAGAATAGGAACGAAAATAAAGCGCCTGTATAAAGATGATTCCATTCATACTGTTTATAACTGCAGACATCTGGACACAGCCAAAACATCCAATAACAAGGAAAATGCTTTGCCAAATTACACAGATCCACAGATCCACTATCACGTGGCAATTCAAATGACCAAAAGGAAGATAATAGGGAAACACAAAAAAAAATGTTTTAGAGTAATGCCATGTGAAAGGGTGGCTAAAAAAAAAAACAACAACACTGCACGGAACTCATTCTAAGTACCAGGCACTGATGAGCACTCCTTCTGTATCCTGGCTCTTGAAAGAATCCAAAATGAACCTACTCTTATCCCCTTTTAACTAACAAGAAAACTGAAGTTGACAGTTAAAGAACTTGCCCAGGATCACAGAGCTGGCAAGGAATGGAGTCAGGATGTGAATATGTCATCCTCCCCCAGAGTCCTGCACATCCTGGAGTTATCAATGCATGCCTCAATGTCCTACCAAGTACTTGAGGGGCCCTTTCCCATAGCGACATCACGATTGTGTTGTGGAGGCCAAACTCAGGGACTAAATCAGCCAGCAAAAAGCGACTTGCACCAGAAATGCCTGCAAGAGAATACAGCAAAAGCCAACACAAAACACAACCAACCAAAAGAAAACTACCGTTGGGATCAAAAGACCAGGAGAAGGAAATGAGAGTGGTCAACAAAGCCAGGCTTCAGGAAGGACTGGGCAAGGCCTCGAGAGAAGAGCTGGGAAGGGCAAGGAGGGCTCCGCTCTATCCATGCCTCGGCAACCGGGCCGCGGCGGGGACCCTGGGGGCGCTGGCGCCTCGGCAGGGAACCCCGAGCCGGGAGGGCTGGACCAGAAGCGCCCCTCAGTGCTGCCGGAGCCGGGACGCCTGGAGAGCGGGACGCCGAGTCCGCCGCTCTCTCCCGCCCAGCTGCGTCGGCAACTCTAAAGCCGCGGCTACCCGGAGACTTTAAGCGGCGGCGGGGGCGGATCAGGGCGGCCGGGCGTGCTGGGACTTGTAGTCCGCGCCGCTCACCTGCCGCCGGACCCCGCCTTCTGGGGCCCCAACCGCGCCCGCGCCGCGCTCCACACTCCCCTTCTCTCCCGCCGGCCGCGGGTGGTGAGGGTGGGTGCCACCTGGGTGCCCCGGGTGGGGCTGCTCCGCCCCGGCTCCTCCCCCTGGTGCCCAGAGTCGGGGAAGTCTAGTCTCCCAGTCCGCCTCCGACACCCACCCGGCCTTGGAGCTTCCCGCGACCCCCGGATGGGGCGTGGCTGGGGCGCGGGGCCCCCGGGAAGCCAGGCGGGGTGTGCGTCCCGCAGTTCCTCAGCCGCAGCCCGGCCCTGGAAGATGGGGACCCGGGAGGTTCCAGGATTCGTGTGTGGGTTTAGGGACCGCCGTCTGGTGGGAAGGGGCTTACAGCGCTTCTTCCGTAGCAGGCGCACAGAGCGCTCTGCTATGGATTGCCTGTCCAAAAAGATTGCTCAGGCTTGGAGAAAGGGCTTTCTTCTGGACCACATTTACCCACCAAAACAAGTGTCCCATCCCTCTGCCATTCCCAACCCAGCAAGCCAGCCCAGACACGGGGGACAGCGCACTGAACTGTCGGTGGCTTCGGAGCAAGTGCCAGGGACTCAAATTCTGACTCCACCACTGCCTAGGGTGTGACCTTGGGCACTTTCGATTTCCTTTGAATGCCGAGTCTCCTCATCAAATAACTCTTTCATAGGGTTCCTATGAAGAATGAGTTAATGTATGTACAGCACCTAGATTGGCACATGTGGTCGCTGGATAAATATTAGCAATTCTGTCTAACCTCAGATCTGAGTACGGCCCTGGACCCAAGTCGTGGGCATGGAGCAGTACAGTACTGCCAAGGACTGGAAGTCCTCTGTCCCCTGTGCCTTCCTGTGCCTCCTAACCCAGCAATCAAGCCGCACCCATCTGTTCACCCTCATCTCCCATTAGTTCACCTCATGTGTTTTATTATCTGGCAAAACCGAAAAACCAAGACTCTGATCAAAGCTCCCACACTTCGATACTTCAACATCTGTCAACCAGAAAAATGTCTCCCTCTGAATTTTCTCTTGTAAGCTCCTTGATTGCAGAAGCCACTAGCTGTGTATTATTGTATCCTCTTCATAGGGCTAGATACAGTGCACGGCACACAATAAAGACTCCAACGCGCCTCGTGAGCTCTTTAGGCAGATCCTATAGAATGTTTCTTTTACCTCTCAGTCCAGCTTAGGGTGTGTGTGCGTGTGTGTGTGTGTGTGTGTGTGTAGATAGATCGGTTTTTTGTTTGTTTTGTTTTTGTGTTTGAAGATGAGAATTGGACAGGAGGTGGAATAACCATCAATACTGGGTGGCAGTTTATGTTAGCCTTCATGTAATGCCATTTGACATTTCAAAATAAATTAAAATCTGGGCACCAAGGCTCATGCCTATAATCCCAGCACTTTCAGAGGCCGAGCGGGAAGGATCACTTGAATCCAGAAGTTCAAGACCAGCTTGGGCAATATGGCAATAACTTGTCTCTTAAAAAAATAAATTAAAAAAAAATCAGGTCTAGAAAGCAAAACTATAGTAACTTTAAAATGTGCTTTTGCAAATTAACCTCTCCTCTGGAGATTTTCTGAAATACAAGGAGGTTTCTCCTAACCCCTGACCTTTCCCATTGAGAGTCACTGATGCAGTCCTCACTCAACTTATGAAAAGACCCCCTGCACTCTACTATGAATTTCTCAACCTGTTACCTTAACCCCACCCCACTCCTTGCAAAGTGGTAACTGTTTTGAAAGGGAAACTGTAATTGTGGTTCTCAAACTGGAACAGGCATCAGAATCACCTGGAGGGCTTGTTAATTCCCGGAACCACGGACCCCACTCCTATAGTTTCTAATTTTGTAGATCAGCGGACAAGGCAGGAGAATTTGCATTTCTATCAAGTTCTCAGGTGGTCCTGATGTGGTTAGTCTGAGCCCAGTCTCAAGTCTATACTTTGAGAAGCTTCGGTACAGAGGAAGGTCACTGGGCAGGGAACTATCTCAAGGGACGATCCGCAACCCAGCCTGGCTGGTTCAGAGCCTCTGTCCAGCAGCCGGAGCTGCCAGGCTTGAATGACTCACTCACTCTAACGCAGTTCACAAAAGATTTATTTTCTCTTTCTCTTTTTGAAACAGGGTCTTGCTCTGTCACTCAGGGCTGGAGTGCAGTAGCATGATCATGGCTCAGTGCAGCCTCAACCTCCCAGGCTCAAGTGATCCTCCCACCCCAGCTTCCCAAGTAGCTGGGACTACAGGAATGTGCCACCATGCCCAGCTAACTTTAACTTTTTTTAAAATTTTATTTGTTATAGAAATGGAGTGTCTCTATGTTGCCCAGGCTGGTCTCAAACTCTTGGGCTCAAGAGATCCTTCCCCTTCAGCCTCCTGAAGTGCTGGGATTACAGGTGCGAACCACCATGTCTGGCTCACAAGAGATTTCCTGGTAAGTGCCTATTTATGCACTTACATCAAATTTGTTATTACCACTGGGGCCTGGTCATCACATCACATTCCCACATAAATATGGAAAGCCACATCCTGAGAGGAGCCACTGTCAGCTTCTGGCATTCATGCCCACCCATGCCACAGAGGGGTGATGTCAGAGCCTGATACTGGACAAACGCCAGCTCCCTGGTTCCTCTTCCACCAGGTTGCATGCAGGCAGTCTCTGCTCTGTGGATACACTCTTCCCTCTGTCCAAAGCATTCAGCAGGCCACAGATTTCCTTGCTCACAGATGGCCTCCAGACTTCTTGCCTGCATTTGAGTCATCTGTCTGCCACAAGTTTACAGAACAGCCCCTTAGAGGTGGAGAAAGTTTTTTTGCTTTTGTTTTTTGTTGTTAAGAGACAGAGTCTTGCTGTGTTGCCCAGGCTGGAGTACAATAGTGTGATGAAAGCTCACTGCAGCCTTGAACTCCTCAGCTCAAGCCATCCTCCTGCCTCCTGAGTAGCTGGGACTACAGGTGCCTGCCATGGCAACTGACTATTTTGTAGAGAGTGGGGTGGTCAGCTCTGTCTCTGAATTGCTGTATGCCCTTGGGCAAGTCTTATAGGACTTTGGGCAAATCTAATCTGGTAGCACAGCTTCTTATTTGCAAGATGGTGATAATGTTTTATGAGGATGAGCAGATTATATAACACAAAGTGATGGTCATAAAATAAGAGTTCAGCATATTTATTTATTTGATAAATACTTACTTTCTGTTTATTTAAACTGTTCCAAATGCTTAGTAACTAATTGAATGAACTGTGCATAACTTTCTTCCCCACCTTCCAGAATGAATCTCTTCTAGTTTGATGAATTAAATTATTATGTGTTGATTCAGGGTTTCAACATCATCTCCAGGTTCTTGAGGCTTTTTCTGAGGCACTCCAGTGGAGAAAGTTTGCTTATTCCCTCCTTCCTCTCCTCTGCCTCAGATCCCTCTGTCAGTTTTCCCAGCTTGTCTGCATCCAAACACCAACAGCAGCAATGGGAGCACTTTCGTGCACAGGCCTAAGAAACGTGAAGAGGGTTTTTAATGTATCTTTATAAAAGCTACTGATTTCTTGTGTATCCTTTGTTGAATCTCTTATTTTTGTAGGAGTTGTTAGTTGATTGTGGTAGGGGCTTCCAGGTATACAATCATATTATAGTCAGCTATAATGCAGTATATAGTAGCTCAAAATGACAGCTGTTTATTATTGTTCGTGCATCTGTGCATGACTGGGAGAACCTTCTGGTCTTAACTTGTTCATGTATTTTTGTCAGCTGTGAATTGGACAGACAGTTCCTCTGACCTTGGTTGGACTCCCACATATTTGAGGGTTGCCTAGAGGTAGGTTGGTGTAGGATGGTTACGGCCAAGACAAGTGAGGTGTTCTTACATATCTCTTACTTTATATTACCCCCAAGCAGGCTAGTGTAGGCATATTTTTAGCTCAGCTCAGGGATATTCCCATGAAAATCACAGGATATGATACTGTTTTTTTTCATTAGCATTCATGTGGAGCAAGACAGATAGGAAAACGCATAAGCACTTAACTCAAGTGTTTGCTTTTCTCAGGTCTACCAATATTTTAATGGCCAAAGCATGTTCCATTGGCTAAGCCCAGATTTAAGAAGTAGGAAAATAGACCATGCCTCTTAAATGAGAACTGGAGTGTCAAAGGGCAAGAGTCAGGGAGAGATGAAGCACAGGTGTCATCAGTAAATCAACCTGCTATGTGCATCTGCACATATAGTAATGGTGTTACTTGTTCCTTTCCAATTTTGATGTCTCTAATTTTTCCCTTGTTTGATTGCATTGGCTGATACCACCAGAACAATATTCAACAACAACCTCTTGTGGTTGTTGCTTTCAAAGAGACAGCTTTTGGATTTATTAGTTACTACTTTTTGTGTTTTCTGATTACTTTCTCTAAAGAAAAATTTATTCTTTTTTCTTTAACTTAATGTGTTATTTGTTCCCTGGCTTCTTCAGTCAGCTGCTGTAGCAATTGCTGTTGACACCCAAGATCCCTTTACTAGGCTTGCATACCCATCTACTGGTTCTGAGACTGTTGATTAATATCAACCCCCAAATGAACATTTCTCCTTTGAATTGTCATTGATTATGGGAGTTACCTTCTCTGAAAATCCCTGAGGTTATGCTTTCTCCTTGGGAGTACCTTGCAATAAATGACTAACTAAGAGAGTGGGACAACTCTGTGATGCCATTTATTTTCCAGAGCTCCCCTGGAATCAGGCTGAGGCTAACCTTTATCTGAGCTTACATCTTTGCAAGCTCCCAGCTGGCTTGTGTGCGCTAAAGGAAGGCCTGCTGTCCACATTGATGCCTGCCATCCTACTGTACACCCATACCGCGAGTTGCTGATGGTTTGCTTCCCCACCTGTATTTGTAAGGATGGTTTGTTGTTATCCCAGAAACTCCAGAACAACTCTGGCCTGGCCAAATCAGTTAACTTCTCTGCTGTTTGGTGG